TCTCGCGTAATGATTTGCCACCGTTGGTGACATCCTGCCATCCCGGCAGAAATCACTTAATTAGGAGGTTGGAATTTTTTTTTTTTTTTTTGGTTAGTTTGCATGAAGACAAAAGTAGACCAATTATATATCTTTGACGCAAGTAAGTTGATTGGTTAGTCAATAGAAGATTTTTTTTTTTTAAAACAAAAACCAAGAAATATATTAATAATCCAAAAAAAACCGGATAATCAACAGACAAAAAGAAAAAGCCCAAAAAAACGGCAAAAACCTCTAAAAGCTAAAAAAATAACCATGAAGAAAGCTAAAAACTCCCCCAAAAACAATCGGGGGCTCGCAGACCGACTGGGACTACCAGCATCCTCGAGACCGCACCAAGGACCATCCAGTAGAGGTTGCCACAAGGAGGCACGAGGACACGAGCCCAGCCACTCATTGCCTGCAACCAACAAACGAAACGAAAAATCAAATCGATCCAACGAACAAGACCGAATTATCTTTTCTACCGCCTCTACCCCAAAAATTTTCCACGAGAATTAACCAGAAATTGGTCTATCACGAACCATTTGTATACCATTTCCAGGGATCTGAATAGGAATCAGAATCAAATCACAATTCCGGACGAATTATGCAAACCAATCACCATGTGATCTAACATCCACACCAGCTTTACCACCCACCTGCAGCTTTAATGAATTGGTAGCCGATTAACATTAACAGGGACATCAACCAAAATTTGAGAGAAACAGCCCAAATTGCCTTGAACATCCGTAATATCAACCCGATTACCATCCGGCATTGCAGCAAGCAAAGAGTTCCGACTCGGTTCAACCTGCTCAACACTCACAGGGCAAACAATTTCCATCGAAGCAACAGGCTGCACCGCCTCATCACCCAGCAACTAATTAGAAACCATCGGCTTCACCAAACACCCAGCATCCACAGAAATATTCACAGAAGGGTTAACAACAGCAATTTCTTCCGAAATAGAATCATTTAACAAAGGATTTCCCAACGACCCCTCCAGATTAGCAACCAAAGCAGGGGGAAAGAAAGGCAAAGCATTAGGAGATAAATCTTTAGAAACAATTTCAGAACCAACAATGCCAGCGTTAGGAACATCCGTATCTTCTCTAGCTAAATCAACATTCACCAAAGTAGGCACAATCACAGCATCTTGATTTCCATCCAACGGCTCCACAATAACCAGTGAAACAGTTTTAGCATTAGTCGCTACAATTTTAGGTAAAACAGAAGCATATAAAACAACAGCTTTAGTCCTACATTCACCCACAGCATGACCGAAACAATGACAAGCACTACAAAAAACAGGGAATTCTTCCATGACCACATGCTGCACGTATCCAAGCTTTTCAGACCCTAGCCAAATACGATCGGGATAAGACTTAGTAATATCCAGTACAACAAAAACCCTAGCTAAAGATGGTCTAGAACCCATAGCCGTAGTCGTATCAATTTTAAGAGGCTTACCAAAGATGGAAGCTAAGCCATGCAGAATTTTAGGAGAGAAAAGATGCGGCCGTAAGGAGGGGAAAGAGACCCAAATCGGAATCTCAGGAGATTCAACCCAAATTTCAACAAAGGGAGATCATTTTGTAATTTTCATAAAACAATTGAAAACCAAATAGGATCTATGACAGGAAATTCGACAATAATCCAAGTCTTGTTCTAATTTGGTTAGTCATACAAGATGATTTTTCATTTAATAATTAATAATTGTATTTGATTAAAAATCCAAAAATTGTAAGTTCAAAAAATTATATTCAATCTATTAAAGTATTTATAAAAATCTAAAAGAAAATTTTAAACAAAAAAAAAAAAAAATCTTATATATTGCAATAAAAAGAATTTTAAAAAAATTATAAGACAATTTGGTTAAAAAATTTTATCATAAAAAATAAAAGAAGTATGTACAATTTTGTCACGTGAAAGTTAAATTATCTATTTAGCTAGGAGCAAGTCTCCATCCATGTGATGACTTGATTGTATTTGCATATTAATATTTTTCGCCACCATTTTTTACTTAATTCTTTTTTAAATTAATCCAATTTTAAAATTTAATCTAGCATTTATGGTTGCATTATGGCAAATTTTTTTAATCAAAATGCAATATGTATATTTCATTCATTTGCATGCCACTCTTTAATCCAATATTTTTTAGATGGGGACGAAGCTTTTTAATCATACTAGCTACATATATGACTCATAATTAAATCTAAATAAATAAATAAATAAACCTACTTCTAAGACAAAAATACTAAAAGAAACATAATAATAAAATTGTTTATAATGCAAACTCAATAGATAACTCCTATTTATTAAATTAGAAAGAATAAGATATAAGGCATGTAATATTTAAATAATAATAAACATAGCACCGTCTATTATGTCATATTAATATAAAAAATAATATTAAAATGTTACTTTTTTAGCAAAAGAGATGTAAAGTTTTAAGGAATTCAAAATTCACCCCATGGATCATTTGTAAAGTATTAAAGTATTCAAAAAATGGATAAGTTTAATTGAGTTTTGAATAGTAAGATTTTGTTTGTGACGGTTTTTTTACTACTTCTTCAAACAATTTTTTAGTACAAAAATTGGTACTTTTATACTAAAAAGTTTTTTTAATAAACAGTAAGAAAGCAGTCTCAAACGAAGCCTAAGCCGCTTTAGTTACCGCCACCCATAGATTAAATGCCCCTATCACAGACTGCTACTTGTCATCGCCCGTCGACCGCCTCCATAAATGAAGCGAACTGATGAAATTTTATCATAACTTGTTGAGTGAGGAGGATGAGCAACATGATCTACATATTTCCATCATAATCTTCTTTATCAAAAGGAAGCAATTATGCAACTATGACAAAAGCATTGTTGCCATAGCAACAACCAGCAATCAACAGTCCTCTTTCAGCTTTTAGAAATTCAATCGAATACCTGACATGTCAAGCAATTCCTTTCCTCTTCTTCAATCGTGATGTTTCGACTCTTTTTTTCTTTTGTATACACCAAGAAATCAATTCTTCCTTTCTGAAAAGATAAGAATCTTAAAAACCTATGAAGCACAGCTCACAAAAATCACTGGGAATCTTAAATAGCTAACCACATGTTACAAGTCTCATTATCAGCAAATTTATTTATTTATTTTTATGTAGAGTGATAAAATATAAATCTATTTGTTTCCTTTCTAAATCTTTTTTATTTTTATTTTTTATTTTTTTTAGTTCGCTCAGCTCTTAAATCTTGATCCGGGAAAAAATAATATCTTATTTATAGTTTCTTTGAGAAAATCATTTTGATAAATTTGATTTGATTTTAAGCACTCCAGCAAATAGTGTATATTGATCTCTTTAATCATAGATTGTTTATCCAAATAATCACAATCTTATCAATTTTGGTTAGTCAAACTACTTTATATGCTTATAAACATGTAAGAATTGGGGACAATTTGGTCATTCGATTAGTATCCAGACGTATTTTAAGTATTTGATTTGATTTCGTTTAGATTGTGATAGGGATCACTTGTGATGTTGATGGGTTCATATCGAAGATACATTCAAATCAACTATAAATTTGTTGAATTAGTGTTTCAATGATATAAATTTAATTTTAAAAAATTTACAATTTTAATATTTTTTAGAGATTCATGTTGGTCAAATAAATTTTTTGAAGACGGTACAATTTGTAAGGAATTATAAACTTAATGACTATCATATTTTTCTCTCTTTTTTAAAAAAATTTAAAATAATAAAAATTAATAATAACAATTTTCAAGCATCATTAATAAAAAATGTTAGTCTCTGTGAAATATAATTGTATTGGTCAATGATATTGTCATGTTAACTTGAACTTCAGTTCAAATTTTTGTGCTCGCTGGGGTGTGGATGGTTCCTCCCCTTGCTTTGTGTTCGAGTGCTTTGCACTTAGAAATTTTTTTTTCGTACAACATATCCCGAACGCTATAAACTTAAGCGCCCAACATTGTGTTCCTGAGCGCCCAACGTTGTGTTCTCGAGCGCTCCAATACTGCAAAGTTTGTTGGGTGAAACAACAGAGAGCATTGTAGTGTCGCAACATCTTAACGCTCTAGATTCAGCTCCACATCGCTTTGTAGTGCCGCAACATCTCCATATGGATCAAAATCAAAGGTTTGAGCATCCCAACACTCCAAACTAGCACCACAGAGTTTCAAGGCGGGCTGGACAATTTTTTTCCTTATTTTCTTAAGGATAGCATCCTTTGGTGTATTATTATTGTTTTCCCTTTTGTTTCATGAGAGAGAACGGTGTAAGATAGAAGAGAAGCTAGGAGAGAGCGAGAGAAAAAAAGAGATCCGTACTTACTTCTCCCAACTTTTATAGTGGATTCCTTGGTATGACGTGGCTCTATGCTTTTTTCTGATTTCAAAATTTTCTACATTAAATTTTAGTGTCATTTACTTTCCGAAGCATTTACTTTTTTATTTGTTTCATCACGGTGCTTACTTCCACCCCCCAACAAAACAGCCTATGAGTATTAAATAAATCTCAAACTTAATATGCCAAAAATATTTTCTTCATAAAATAAAGATTAAATTTTAACTACTTTGTTTAGTGGTCAAATTTCACCACTAAACAAAGTAGTTAAAATTTTGTTTGATATAATTTTTTGTCACTATTTTTTATTGATTCCAAAAGATATTTATATTAATAAATTGCTGTATTATTTAAATTGACTCAAACACGAAGCCTAAAGCTTCCTTTGAAATAACTTTTTTATTACTTCTTCACAAGCTTTTTAATATAAAAATTGGCTAAAAGCAAAGCCAAAAGAAAAAGTTATATAAAAAACTTTCCAGCCTATATCTCAATTTCTAATCAACAACTTAAATTTTTTTTACAAACTAAAATAATTTACAGTTTTACACCAACATCAGTTGCTGTCTGCCTCAAGTTGCTTCGATTCCCTGAACTCGCTTATAAATACTCTCCTGCTCTGCTCTCCCTCACCACCTCTCTGCCTCCCAAGAAACTTGCTGAACTTCCAATAACCTCCTGCAAGCTTTTCTCCTTCTTCAGCAAAGCTGAAAAATGGCGATGATCTTGGATGCTTTTATGAGCAAATGCTCTACTTTACTCACCGATTTTGTCCAGGAAGAGGTGATCATGTTGCTGGGTGTGAAGGGCGAGCTTCAAAAGCTTCAACAACGGATGGTGAGTATCCAAAGCCTACTGAAAGACGCTGAAAAGAAAAAATTTGATGACTCATCCATCGACCACTGGCTCTCTGAGCTTAAAGATGTCATGTATGACGCCGACGACATCATTGACCTATGCCGGATTGAAGGCGCTCAGCTGCTCGCCGATCAGAATCATAAATCTAAAACATCTCCGGTATGTTGCAGTTTCTCATCCGCCTTATCCTGCTTCAGTAGCATTCCTATGCGGCATGATATTGGAAACAAGATTAAAGAACTTAATGATAGACTCAACATGATATATGAAAATAGAAAACAATTTAAACTAGCGAAATTCATTGTACCAGAAACACCTCAAATAACACTAGTTGATCATCGTCAAACTTCTTCCATGATTGATGATGTTGTCGTGGGAAGAGAGGTTGAGGTTGTTGCAAATGAATTAGTTGAGCGTTTGGTAGCGGAGAAGGTTGAAGAAAAATGTCGTCTTTTTGCTGTTACTGGCATGGGTGGGATAGGGAAGACAACTCTGGCTCAAAAAATTTTTAACCATCCGAAAATTCATACTTATTTCAATTTAAAGGTGTGGGTTTGCGTTTCTCAAACTTACTCAGAAACTGAGTTATTGAAGCAAATAGTAAGGGGGGCTAAGGGGAGCTATGAGAATGCTAAAACTAAAGCAGAGTTGCAACCTTTTCTTAGAGATTCTGTTGTTTCTGGAAAGAACCTTTTTCTTGTTTTAGACGATGTGTGGAGGGCGGATGTGTGGGTTAATTTGCTCAGACCCCCTTTGTACAACGCTAACACGAGTGTAAGAGTCTTGGTCACAACTAGATATGAAGATGTTGCTAAAGATATGGAGGCTAAACACATTCATCCTGTGGTGAATCTTTCTATGGAGAGCAGCTGGGAGATGCTTCGTAAGAGGCTTTTCTCAGAGGATCAAGAGGAGCTAGCAAATGGGTTGAAGGAACTTGGATTTCATATAGTGGAAAGATGTGGAGGTCTTCCTCTTGCAATCAAAGCTATTTCTGGTGTTCTTTCTAGAAAAGAGCGGAGTAAGAAAGAGTGGGAAAAAATTCTTAGGAATGATGCATGGTCCATTAGCAAGCTTCCTGAGGAGCTTAGAGGAGCTTTATACCTCAGTTTTGAAGATCTACCTTCTCATCTCAAGCAGTGTTTTTTATATTTTTCTTTGTTCCCAGAAGATGCTGAGTTATCTAGCCGTGATTTTACTCGGCTTTGGGTTGCTGAAGGATTCATAACAAAGCAACAAGATTCATTAATGGAGGAATCAGGAGAAGAATATTTCAATGAGTTACTCAGGAGGAATCTTTTACTACCAGATCCTTCTAATTTTCTTGGGAATACTTGCAAAATGCATGATCTTACTAGATCTCTAACTCTGTTCTTATCAAAAGATGAAAGTTCTTTTGGAGATTTTAATTTTAAGAATTCCGTTAAATCCACTAAGCTTCGTCGCTTATCAGTTGCACATGAAGAAGCAGCAGTAGATATACTCGATTCTGTGGCAGAGCCGGGAGCCCTGAGAACCTTGCTTGCTTCAAAATCTGATCTGATATTGGATGATGAAAGATTGAGGCGGCTTTCACATCTTCGTGTCTTACAAATTAAAAAGACAAAGATTCAAATCCTTCCTGATTCCATAGGAATTCTAGTGCATTTGAGGTATCTTGATTTGGATGGTACAGACATACGATCAATACCAGAATCTATAAAGCACTTAGCTAACTTACAATTCTTTAACATACGTGCATGCAAGTATTTGACACAACTTTCTTGTGGAATCACTCAGTTACATAATCTAAGGCGCCTTGGTCTATTTAAAACACCTCTTAGTTTCATACCAAAAGGTATAGGAAAACTACAAAATCTTAATGATCTAAGTGGCTTTGTGGTGGCCAACAATGAGTCAAGTAGCAAACTAGAAGAGTTGAATTCCTTGAAACAAATAAAAATGCTCAGCATTTGCAACTTAGAGAGAGCGCAAAGTGGAGCTATAATTCTCAGAAATCTACATTGCCTTTCTGATCTGAAGTTGTATTTCTCCGAAAATAGCTCAGAGCCAAACGAGGAAGAGAAGTTGGCAGTAGAGCAGCTGTTCGACGAGCTAGTACCTCCTCGAAGCCTGGAAGAACTCAAGATAATAGGCTTCTATGGCTCTCGGTTCCCAAACTGGATGTCCTTCTCCTCTTTCGAAAAATATGTTCCATTTTTAACTAGATTGGAACTTGCAGACGTAACATCAATCACTGTGCTCCCACCATTAGGCCAGTTGCCTGAACTTAAACTGCTTACCATAAGAAATGCAAGTGAATTGAAGAAAATCGGGCCAGAATTTCTTGGTGTCGGCGTCAATTCATCAACTAAGATTGCTTTTCCAAAGCTTGAACTGCTTAATATCCACGACATGCCTGTATTAGAAGAATGGTCTTTCGGAGCACAAGTCGAGCTTAATGCTTCTCCAATGGTGAAGTTGCTTCCATGCTTACGGGAACTAAGCATCAGTGATTGTCCATTACTGCAACAACTACCTAAATATCTAAATCACTCAGCTATGAAGTCCCTTTGTATAGAAAAAGCTAATAGCTTGAAATCAGTGGACGATCTCCCTTTTGAAACTGAGGTTCTTCAATTAGTTGACAATCAAAATTTGGAAAAGATCTATTGTCTCCCTGCATTAAAACGGCTCCTAGTCATAAACTGTGAAGCCTTATCTTGCGTGGAGAATCTTGACTCATTGCAGGAATTGATATTATTTGATTATAACAAGGAGAGTCTTCCTCAGTGGCTATTGACACTTCTGCAACAACGTGGGCAGCAAAATCATAGCAATGAGGACTTCCTTCTTCACTTGCAGTGCTCTGAGAAGGCTCTTCGACAATGCGTGGAAGGAGGTTCTCATTGGGAACTAATCCGACACATTCCTCGGGTAATTGCTTATGAAGATGATCAATTTGGGACAGGGACAGGCTATCTTCGCTACAGTAAACAACCTTATGTTTACGATACAAATCTCTGATTAATTCACACGTTGGTGCTTTGTCAAGGATTATTTGTGTTGTTTGTATTACAATGAGTGTGTATCTCTGCATTACTGAGAGCCAGTGCTTATTCCATGGCTTTAATGTGTTTGTGTGCATTGATTTGGTTATCCTATTATTACTTTCTGGTATTGGTTTGATGTAAAAAGGCATCACTTGTCAGATTTTTCTGGGAATAATAGAAGTGTTGGGATTGTGTGTTTCAAATCTGAGAATGTTTAACTGCTTTGGCTCGATCTTTAAGGGCATCTCCAACTGAAAATTTTAATTTTCACTCGAAAATATTGTAATACACTAAAATGCATTAAATTGTCTCCAACGAAACTCCATTTTCTAACACAAAAAAAATATTCCTAGTATATTTTTTTTCATATTTTATTTTATATTTTTTTAATCATATATTTATAGTTATCAATTTTTATAATTAAACCTATTATATATATATATATATATATATATCATAGGTTTACATCATTGGTTAATATTTCATTGTCCTTGTTAGCTATTTACTTCATTTAAAACTCATTTCCTAAATAGATCTTCAAAATTAGCCCAAATTTATCCAAGCTTGGAATTAGTTGAGATAAACCCAAATTTATCCAAGCAGAATTCAAGTTGGTTGAAGTGGAGGAATGCATCGGGCTTGTGTGTGATAGAAAAATCCCCCTCAAACTTAAGGAAATTTTATATAAGAAGGTGGTGAGACATGCAATGCTTTATGGTGCCGAATGTTGGCCATTAAAGTGCTAGGTTCTAGAATTAATATATGAAATGTAATTAACCTAACTATTATCAACAACTTAACAACTCAAATAATATCTTATTAGTATATAGCTTTTAATCATTTTAAATATAAATAATGAAGGTCTAGAAGGTCATATTGAAATTGAGTAACAGGTTCATGCTACAAGTTTCAAATAACAAAACAAAATAAATTTCTTTTTTTTTCTATTCAAAAATATATGATTAAATACTCGCTTTCACGACTTAAAAATTTTCTTTTTCCTATAAATTCTTACCCAATATATTAGTAAATGATAAAAACATATAGAAAAGTGATAATTATTATTATACGCTAACATTTAATTCAAATAAACTACTTTTTTAGAAAGAGTGAAACCAATACTCTATTTTTATCTACTTGAAATATACCTTGCTCACCAAAGAGTTAAAATTTGCAAAAAATATCTTTCAAAAATTCATACCATAGATAAAAATTCTTTTGTTGACTACCAAAGAAGGTTTCCATCTTAGGTATGAAACTCTCCAGTTGTACATGTGTTATGTATCTATCACAAGCATAATTGAGTTGTCACATTTGTTAGTTCACATAAATTACAAACCAATACTTTAGCTTACAAATTTCCCTCCACCCTTCAATGCTATTTCTCTCAACATGTCATGCATTTTGTTTTTTGAATTATATATGGAAGAATCGAACTGGAGCGGATCTTTTTA